CATGAAACGTCTTCGTGAATAAAATTTATTTAAAAAAAATGGAAAACTAATTTATTATTACGTTTTTAATAAAAAAATGACTTCTCCTTCTACTGTTAAAATGTAAAGGTAAATAAGATAATGTAATGAGTTACAAGAGTTATATCATCTGGATTTTTTGCAAATGAATTTGTGAAATGCGATTTATATAATAAAGTGGAATTTTTTTGAAAATATCATAAAAAAGTGCGAAAAAATAAAATGACTTCAAGAAAATTTTTTGAAAGTTATAAAAATGAATTTTATAAATTAAATGATGACAGGACAAGAAAAAGTTATAAAAGGTTATTTTTTATACCAAATAATGGTACCATTTAAATTGTATCTGTCATATAATAATTTGCTTGAAATCAAAACAGAACTGTTATACGTTTTCAAAATATTTGTTTGGTTTAAAATTTTTTGAAAACATAAGTGGTTGCATTATTTTGAGTTTAATTTGTGTTTTTATTACAATTTTGTAATAAATTTTTAAGATGTAAGGGTATAACAGTTTCAGAAATAATTTTATTAAACTGTTATATTACTCAAATGTTGTTGAAAACAGAGGGTATTGCATTATTCCGATTTTAAATAATGTTTTTATTCGATTTTATTAAAAAATTTACAAGATTTCGGTGTATAACAGTTTCAGAAATAAAATTTTAATAAACTATTATACTAGTCAATAGTGTTGAAAACATAATTTGAAATAATTGAAACATTATTTTAGAATAATTCATGTTTTTATTTGAATTTTCATAAAAATTTTCAAGATTTAAGTTTATAACAGTTTCAGAAATAATTTTCTTAAACTGTTAAACTACTCAAATTTTGTTATTTTGCACTTTCGACGATAAATATGAGTTCAGGGGATGTATTAGTCCCAACAGAGCAATTTTTTAAAACTGTTATACTGTTATAAAAAACTGTTATACAACCGATATGTTTAAAAAATACATTTTTGGCAATTTTTAGTGTAATTTTCAAACTGTTATATTGTTATAAAAACTGCTATTCAATAAACAAAAACTGTTATACGTTTTTGGAACATTTATATGGTTTAAAAATAGTTGACAACATAAGTTATTGCATTATTTTGAGTTTAATTCATGTTTTTATTCGATTTTTTAAATACATTTTGGAGATTAAAGTGTATAATAGTTTAAGAAATAATTTTACTGTTATACTGCTACTGTTATACTACTCAAATCGCTTTATTTTGCATTTTCGACGATAAATATGAGTTCAAGGAATGTATTAGGCCCAACAGAGCAAATTTTCAAACTGTTATACTGTTATAAAAAACTTGTATACAAGGAAAATGATTAAAAAAACAATTTTTTTTAAAAATAATTTATAGTGAAATATTATTACGAAAGGTGTATCACTTTAATTTTGAAACTGTTATACTGTTATATAAAACTGCTATTCAACATAAAAATATAAATAAAATATTTTTTAAAAAACTTTCGTTCATTTTATATTGTTATATAATTCAATTAAATCATATGTTTTTCTAAACTATTTAATTATTTTTCGTATAAAGCACTAGTTTTTAAAAAAATATCGAATCGATTAAATATTTCCATTTAAATAACGTATACATTTTTTTAAAACCCGTTAAAGAAATCTCACAATGTGGCTAATACAAAAACCCCTTCAAAAAAATAAATATTTTTTATTTATTTATTTAAACTTTCAAGCCACCCCAAGTAAATGTGTCATTGATTATCATTGTGTTGTTGATATTATTAATTTGCACTTCTCATCGATCTATACAGACAAATACTTCCCATTACTCAAGCCACTTAAATATTTACTTACTAATAATCGAAAAAATCATGATATATCTATTATTTTCGATCGAAAACGATTCGAAAGAAAATAAAAAAATATATATGCCATATATAAGAAAATTATTACGACATTTAATTGAAACTAGTCACTTTATCATAAACAAAAAGCTTTCAAAAATTATGATTGATCATAAGCTGTTATTGTTGTATAGGGTTCCATGTACTCTATACAAAAAAAAAAAACGAAAACAACTGTAGCAATTGCTGATTGTATGCAAAACATTTAATAAAAATGCCAACAATTGACTTGAAATTAATTTGTTGTCTCAACAATGAAATCAGTTGAGTGTAACTTATATCCAAACCATCCAATCATCCATCCATACTCTCTTGGCTATCTATCTACCTACATAGCTGAGCTAGCTAGCTAACTACATAAATATCTGCCAATCATATAGTGAGAATATATCTATATGGGGGAATAAAGAATGTATACAGTGTGGTACATAAATGAGGGGATAATTTCATGTATAGGCCACGGATAATTATTAAAAAAAACCTAGACCTTATATATAGGCAAAAAAAAATATTTTAAAAATCGTAGGCCTTGTATAGGCCAAGGAAAAAAACTGTTATACGTTTTCAAAACATTTATATGGCTTAAAAATTGTTGCAAACATAAGTGATTGCATTATTTTGAGTTTAATTTATGTTTTTATTCGAATTTAAATTTTAAGATTTAAGTGTATAACAGTTTCAGAAATAATTTTACAAAACTGTTATACTACTAAAATCGTGTTGTTTTGAATTTTCGACGATAAATATGAATTCAGGGATGTATTAAGCCCAACAGAGCAAATTTTTGAAACTGCTATACAACGGAAATGATAAATATAGGCCAAGGAAAATATTATTTCAAAAACCTAGGCCTTGGAAAATATTATTTCAAAAACCTAGGCCTTGGAAAATATTCTTTAAAAAATCCACGCCTTATATAGGCCTTGGAAAAAATATTCTTTAAAAAATCCACGCCTTATATAGGCCTTGGAAAAAATATTCTTTAAAAAATCCACGCCTTATATAGGCCTTGGAAAAAATATTCTTTAAAAAATCCACGCCTTATATAGGCCTTGGAAAAAATATTCTTTAAAAAATCCACGCCTTATATAGGCCTTGGAAAAAATATTCTTTAAAAAATCCACGCCTTATATAGGCCTTGGAAAAAATATTCTTTAAAAAATCCACGCCTTATATAGGCCTTGGAAAAAATATTCTTTAAAAAATCCACGCCTTATATAGGCCTTGGAAAAAATATTCTTTAAAAAATCCACGCCTTATATAGGCCTTGAAAAAAATATTCTTTAAAAATCCACGCCTTATATAGGCCTTGGGAAAAATATTCTTTAAAAAATCCACGCCTTATATAGGCCTTGGAAAAAAATTTCTTTAAAAAATCCACGCCTTATATATGCCTTGGGAAATTTTTTTAAAAAATCCCCGCCCCCAGGATTAATTTCTGTACCTTAAAATTCTGTATCATTCTCTTGATGCTGTTCCAATTTTTTTCTCCGAATTTTTTAATTGTTTTTTTTTCTCCTAATTTTCTTATATGGCTTCCACCAATTTTTGGCCCTTACTGTATTGATCATTGTCAGAAAAAAATTTGTATCGCGTCTATGTGAGTAAGTGAGAAATGATAGACGTGATTTTGTTCGTTTGTTATCTTTTACAACAAACACACCCACCAAAAACGTTAAAAAAAGTGCGGTTTTAAAACCGATCAAATGACTCATTGACGCAGACGACCCGCACCAACAACAATAATAGCCTCAGCCACAAGCCAGCAAATGAGGTTTTTAGAGTTAAATCTAAAATATTTCAGTTTTTTTATATATGGAGATTAAGGGAATCAAGTTTTGGATTTCATAGAAAAAATGCGTTTGTGTGTGTGCTTTTTTTTCAAAGTCTCACCTCACGTCTAATGTAGCGATGCACTTAATGGTGGCTTGTGTTAAAGAAGATAATGAATCATTGTTAGATTGATTGAGAATAGTAGACCCAACAAAAAAGGGGAGGTAGAGGTATTGAGTAATACCCAGCGCATATACAAGGTGGCATGGTTTTTAGTAGGAAACATGGCCACACATGTTTTTGATACCTTAGATCGTGTTGTTTGTTCATTCGTTGCGGTAACAGCCTAAAAATTGTGATTAATTTTTTTTAATTCTTTTGTTAATTTTTTGAAATTCGTTTTTTCCATTACAGCCTTGTGATTTCAGTTGCATTTAAGAAAATCAATCAATAAGCAAGCCAAAGAACCCGATGTCAACAACAACATTGGAAACCAGTAAAGCCAAGAAAATCAGCTAAAGGTGATGACTACGTCATCTCTGTCGTCAGAATACCACTGACCGAACAACAGCCAACAACCCAGTTGTCTACGAAATAGTTGTTTGCCAGTTTATTTTTGTTTTGATTTTTTCTGTTTGTGTCTCATTTTTATTGTTGCTTCCTTCCTATCTGCTCGGTTCGGTCTAATGGAATTACAATCAAATCAAACAATAAAAATCAATCAAACACTTGTAGAAAATTGACAATTTTTGCAAAAAAATACAACAACAACAAAAATAACAACAACAAAATCAATGCAAATTTATCAATAAATCAATTTAAACGGAACTTCTTTGGACAATTATTGGCTATTTTCTTAACAATAACAACAACTAATTGTGATATTGAATATAAATAAAAAACAAAACGGCAACAAAAACAACAACAACCAGGAATCCCACAAAATAATAATAATTCGTGATAAATACGCAATTTGTATTCGTTTCTCACTCTCTTGACTGTCTGTCTGGACGCCGTGACATATGTTTCTATGGATGATTGCCAGTTGTAAAATACAATTTAAATTGTAACGGACGATTAAAGGAATTCTCTCACGTAACTCTCCCCCGAATTAAAATAAAATAAATAAGAAGAAGAAAACCAAAACACTCACACACACACACACCCAGAAAAGATAAAGGACAGCAGTCACCAACACAAACAATAGAGGTATATTCACACACACGCACTCATCCAGGTCACACAGAAGAAAGAGAGCTCCCGAAGAACAGAAAAACAAACCCCTAAATCCCAAAAACAGGAGAACCCGAAATATCAATTGCAGCCAAACTACGTCACAGACATAACGTACACGTTGTGACCGCTGCAGCAATCCGCAATCGTCCGCTATGGGTAACACATCGTCACACACGCATGAACCTCTAGAAAGAGGCAATTTTCAACGCGGCAAATATGGTGATGTCACAAATGGGGTAGGTTTTTGAATATTTCTCGATGTTTTGAATATATTTTTGTAGTTTGTTTGTCGTACGAAAAAAACACTTGTTTCTCTTGTGATCATGTTTTGACTCTCTTAACTTATTATGATTCTCTTATTAATTTGTTTACATGTTTTTTCCTTTCTCTTTTAGAAATCCGCTTCATTTCGTTTTAGCAAAAAGTCGCCCAAGAAAATGGATCGTTTGCGACGATCCTTTCGTGATTCCTTCCGTCGCAGAAAGGACCGTGTTCCCGAATCATCGAAACCCCATCAATGGCAGGCCGATGAAGAGGCCGTCCGTACGGCCACCTGTTCGTTTGGTGTCAAATATCTGGGCTGTGTAGAAGTTTTTGAGTCGCGCGGTATGCAAGTTTGCGAGGAAGCCCTCAAAGTTTTAAGGGTGAGTAGTCAAAGCAAGGGTACAATTACAAAAAATGTATATTTCAACGATCGTTATTTTCAATGATCTATTGTAGGTGTGGATTATAAAAAAAATTCAATGACCTAACATAGACGTGGATTAAAAAAATATTATTTCAATGGTCATCATAGGCATGGATTAAAAAAATTTTTTTTTCAAATATCATCCTGAACGTGGATTTTTTTAAAAAATATATTTTTTCACGGGTCATCATAGGTGTGGATTTAAAAAATTTTTCAGGAGGGTTCATCATAGGCGAGAATTAAAAAAATATATATTTTTCAGGAGGTGTCATCATAGGCGTGGATTAAAAAAAATTATATTTTTTCAGGAGAGGTCATCATACGCGTGGATTTAAATATATATATTTTTTTCAGGAGGGGTCATCATAGGCGGGGTCAAGGGTCATCATAGTCGTGGATTTAAAAATATATATTTTTTCAGGAGGGGTCATCATAGGCGTGGATTTAAAAAAAATATATTTTTTCAGGAGGGGTCATCATAGGCGTGGATTAAAAAAAATATATTTTTAGGAGGAGTAATCATAGGCGTGGATTTAAAAAAAATATTTTTTTTTCAGGAGGGATCATCATAGGCGTGGATTTAAAAAAATATAAATTTTTTCAGGAGGGGTAATCATAGGCGTGGATTTAAAAAAATATATTTTTCAGGAGGGGTCATCATAGGCGTGGATTTAAAAAATATATATTTTTCAGGAGATGTGGATTAAAAAAAACTATTTTTTGAAGTATAATCATAGGCGTGCATTTTTAAAAATATATTTTTTGAAGAATCATCATAGGTGTGGATTATAAAAACATTTTTTGAAGTGTAATCACAGGCGTGGATTTTTAAAAATATATTTTTTGAAGGATTGTGGATTTTTTAAAAATATATTTTTTGAAGGATCGTGGATTTTTTAAAAATATATTTTTTTAAGGATCGTGGATTTTTTAAAAATATATTTTTTTAAGGATCGTGGATTTTTTAAAAATATATTTTTTGAAGGATCGTGGTTTTTTTAAAAGTATATTTTCCAATGTCGAACTAGAGGCGTGGATTTAACAATATATATATAAGCTCCGTTATTGGCCTGGATATTAAAAAAAATATTTTTATTGTCCGCCATTGGCCTGAATATTAAAAAAATATTTTTAAGTTCCGCCAATGCTCTGGATATTAAAATATTTTTTTAAGCTTTTGGACCTTTTAAAAAATACTTTTTTAAGCTTCTGGACCTTTTAACAAATACTTATTCAAGCATTGCGATTTCTTAAAAAATATGTTTTCAAGAACCTACATCGGCGTGGATTTAAAAAATATATTTTTTCAAGAACCACCAAATCCACCAAAGTGGATTTTTAAAAAATATGTTTTCAAAAACCTACATCGGCGTGGATTTAAAAAAAATGTTTTTAAAAACCTACATCGGTGCGGATTTAAAAAAAATATTTTTTTTCAAGAAAGGCGTGGATTTTTTAAAAAAAATATTGTTTAAAGCTTCACCAATTGCCTCACCGTTTTAAATCCTGAAATCAATTATTTCATAATTGTTCCCTTTTTTTGTTTTTCCTCTTCGAAATTTGATACTTTCCAAAAGCACACCAAATTCAAATTCAAGTTGATTGAACTAAAGTGCTCCCATTTTTGTTTCTTGTTGTTGTGCTAATCATAACGATGAAGGAGGAGAATTTCTGCAATTAAAAACCACACCAAAAAAGATTCTTAATTAGCAGTGGCTAGAGCAAGCCATAGTCGTTTTAATTAAGCATTTATTTTAAACGCTTGCTGACCTTGGTGTCAATGAAAAGAAATAACTTCGGACACAGAAAGCAGTGTGGGTTCATATACAACAACAAAAACAAGTAATCGATATTTGGAAAGAAAAGAAATTGGCGAAAAAATTAATAAGATAAAAATGAAGAAAAAAACAATTTAAAAAAAATCTACGCCTATGGTAGGTCATAGAAAAAATATTTAAAAAAAGTATGCCTATAGTAGGTCATTGAAAAAATAGTAGATCATTGAAAAATATATTTTTTCAATTCTACGCCTCTGGTCGGTTATTGAAAATATATTTCCTAAAAAATTCACGCCTATGGTAGGTCTTTGAAAAAATATTTAAAAAATCATAATTACTTCTTTCCTCCTCCTATAAGCTATCAAAGAATATTAGAAAAAAAATGAAAAAATTTTTAATGAATTCCCTATTATCTTCTGTTTTTTGATCTTAGAGTTAAAATACAACAACAACAAAAAACTTAAATTAGATTAACAACAACAAATTAATTTATGCAAATTTGTTTTCTTTTACAGAACTCTCGTCGTCGCCCGGTTCGCGGTCTACTGCACGTCAGTGGTGATGGTCTACGCGTTGTCGATGACGAAACTAAGGGCCTGATTGTCGATCAAACCATCGAGAAAGTCAGCTTCTGTGCTCCGGATCGTAATCATGAGCGTGGTTTCAGTTACATCTGTCGCGACGGCACCACCCGCCGTTGGATGTGCCACGGCTTTTTGGCGGTCAAAGATTCTGGAGAACGTCTCTCGCATGCTGTGGGCTGTGCCTTTGCCGTGTGTTTGGAACGTAAGCAACGCCGCGACAAGGAATGCGGTGTCACAATGACCTTTGACACGAAAAATAATACTTTCACGAGGACCGGTTCATTCCGCCAACAGACGATGACCGAACGCATGGTCAACAACGAACGTGGCATTGACACCCCATCGGCTGCAGTGCCGCCCCAACCGAAACCTTATAACCCCTTTGCCATTGAAAGGCCCCATGCTACGCTCACCATGTTGGAGCGACAGAATTCATTCCGTGTGCTTAGCACAATCGGTACCCAGTCACCTTTTAAACGGCAGATGTCATTGCGCATCAACGATCTTCCGTCCAACGCTGAGCGTCAAAAGGCCTTTATGGCCGCTGCATCAGGTCTCACCTTGGGTTTGAGCGCCAATACGCCCAATCGCAGTGTTTCACCCATACCCGAAGTGTCACCGGCCCGACCCGGTGGCCTGGAGCTGGAGAATGGTGGTGTGGCCACCGCCGAAACTGTTAGTCAACTGTGTCAGGAACTTAGCCAGGGATTGACGTTACTCTCACAAAACGATGCGGTGCTAGCTACGCCCACCGGTGCCGCGGGTGCTGGGGGCGTTGCCGATGATCTCAACTTCAACAATAACTTGAGCATTAATCAGAATATAATTGCTGCCGAGAAGCAATATCAAAAAGGAATCTCCTCTCCATCGAGTACCAGTAGTTATGGTATTGTGACGCCCACGGCCAAGATAACGCCACGCATAGCTGCCGGTTCGCCAGCGATTTTGAATACACCGCCACAGACACCAAGCAATACACCCACGCTGCCGACAGAGAAAACATCAGCTACGCTGGCGGAAGCAGCACTGCCACAAGCCGATCAGTGGTTGGGTCAGGTGGTCAAGAGTACCTCACCGGCAGTACACAAACGTGGTCCGATGTTGAGTGCTGGTGGCCGAACACAATCGATGAGTTCAGTGCCGGGTGTTAATGATCCTTTCGATGCGGAATGGGTGGCGGGCGTCACCAAGCCGCTGTCGCCTGATATGCCCTCGAGTATAAGTACGGTAACGCCACCCACACCGCCCTTGCACAGTACCAATCCATTTATATCACCACCGAAGGCAGCAGCACAATCATTCCAGGTGCAACTATAAGCCAGCAAGCAATCTCTCCAGTAAACTAAACTTCTCCTTTGAAGGCAAAGAAATCGGAAAAAATGTGAAAAAAGAATTGGAGCATTTTGGAATTGTTGCTGGAATCGGCCCGTTATTCGTGCTGCAAACAAAACAAGTGTACAGTGTTGGACACATAAACACTTAAAAAACAAATTTAGAAACACCCTATGTTACGAGTATTTTTTAAGCGTTACAAAAACAAAATGAATGATCAATGAAAATGATGCAAAACAAAACTGAAAAGACAGACACTCTGGAAGAATGTAAATGTGTGCGTGTATGTGTGCTCGCTTGAATGAATGCAAGAAAGAAGTCAAAATTTAGAGAACAAAAAAAAAAATAAGTATGGATGAATGCCGCCAGCTCGTAGTTAGAAATGTAGAATAGTAAAAAAACTGGGCAAATTTGTTACTTAATTATATGTATTAGGGTGGAGTGGGGGCAAAGGAGAAGGTGTAATGTTTTTTTCTGAAAAAAAATAAATGAGGAAGCTTTACCTTGAAATATAATGGAAAAGGGTCCAAGGTATCCCTATTTATTTTAAAACGTCTCCTGAAGTAAAATAAACATTACCCCTACATTGACCCTGCTTACCCTGATCCTCAATAATGTTACTTACACTTCCTCTAAATTAAGAAACAAAACAAAAAAAATCACATCAAGAATTAAATTCAATAATAACCTGAATGGAAATCTACTTGAAGAAGGTCAATGAAAAAGGATTTTGAAAAACCTAACACTAGGAGATACCTCGGAGGCTAGGTAGCTCACTTCGAGTTAGATCGCTGATATCACTTAGGTGTGTAGTAATAAAGGGATATACATTAATGATCACAGATTTTTAACTTGAAGTGAGTTATTGAGCCTTAGATGTACCTCCTCCCCTCACCTAACCAAGTTGGACGTTCATATTCTTTGTAGAATATGAAAGAAATCACTTAACAGCATTTAAAATCGATCAATAATTAATTTTCCATACAATTAATTGATTTGTTCCATTTTACATGATTTTTTCTTTGGTGACAATTGTCTTATCCTTTTTGATTTTTTGGTCCTTTTTTCCCTTCTTTGTATAATAAAATCCAACAACAACAATAATTTTTGTTATGTATTTTTTTGTCATTGCCGTCTATACATAAATTTTTATTACTTAATAATTATTTATTGTCAATATACATTGATAATGCTTAATTTTGTTTCTTTATTATTTTTTCTTTTTTTGTACAAAAATGTGTATTATATTAAATTAATTTTATATATACAAAATAAAAATTAATAAAACAATTATCAGTTATTATTATAATTTTTTGTCTTAATTTTTTAATTAATCTTATTCTTAATTTTGCTTAATATAAATATATATAAAAACAAATTATATAAAATTTATTATTTTTCTGTAATTTAAATTTGTATTTTATTTTAATTATTATTTTGTGTCTTTTGTTTTTTTGCTAGATTAACTTATACATACATACTTATACATGTGTTGTATTTACATACTGAGATAGTTAAACTTAATAATTATAATAATAATAAATAAATAAATTACAAAACAAATTAAAAGAAATTTGTTGAGAAGAAAATATTATTTTTTTAATTATTAAATAATTTCCGATTTGAAAAAATATATTTTTAAGGCTATGGATTGGGTTTATTTACTTATTGTTTTGTAATAGAAATCGGAAAAGCACTAGAACCGGTTTTTTTAAGAAATAAATTCAGATATACCGGATTCTAATGATTTTGCTATCATATCCCACATTCTGAGAAGTTTTCCTACCAGACCTCTGTTTATAGCAGATATTCAGAGCTCAGACAATTATTTTTTTCTATAAGTCCTCAGGGTTGAAAACAATTAAAACTCTATATTTTTTAATGAAAATTCGAGCCTCGGTCCTCAGACTTACACACACATGTTTTATTATTCTTTTTATATAAGGTATTTGTTTTTATCAGTTTAATGTTGATCAAAACGGTTATTAAATTAGCTTCAAATTAAAGTTACAAGTTTGTGAAATATTGCCACTTTGTGGGAGAGGTACCAGAAAGATAGAAACGACGGGTCCACCTTCGGACTTGATCTAGGCTTGGAAAATATAATTGGTTCTGCAAAATTTGGTTTAAATTGGACATTCCTTTCGCCTAATATTGAATTGATGTATATTGAAAATATTTTTAGCCTACATGGGGAGGTCCCATTTTCGGCTTTGTAATAGGTTGGACATAGATTGGTTCAAATCACACATTCCATATTTGGTTCAAATTCGCATGATATTTTTAAATTAGTTTTCAGCAAAATTTTGAATATTTTGTGGGCGAGGTACAAAAATGAGTGTAATGTAGGAAAATCGGTTCACTCTTTTTGGTACGAACTTGAACTAAGTTTGGAAGAAATATTACGATGTGTAAAGTTTAGATGAAATCGGTCATTCCCATCGAAAGTTATCGTGCGCACTAGCCAGACAGATGGACTGACATTTCTAAAACGACTACAAATTATCTGAAACGGATTTGGTCCAAAGGAACATAAGGTCTAAAACCATTATTTCGACGAGGCACATTTTTGCCGCAGCAAAGTATATACCTTCATTAGCCATAAGGCTGAGAGTTTAAAAACGTGGAGAATGTTTTTTTTCGAAAAAAAATTCTGACCTCAATTTATAGAAAAAATACCTCTGAGACTAATGAGTCCTATTTTTTGAAACTACTTTAGAATGAAATACACTGTGACGCAAAATTGAGTTCGAGGTCTGGAGGGTGAGAAACCCATGTGATTAGCTATATCTTATGGTTTCAAACGATAAGTTTAATGGGTCGATTAAAATGGGTAAAAAATCGGGTTTATTATCTGAAAATTATTATATTTGAAGGCCAAAAATCTCGTCTAGTGGTATTTATATTACGGTGCAAGAAGAAGCCCAAGAAGTCGGGATAGGAGATGGATATGTTTACAAAAATATTCCTTGTTCAATTTGACTGAAGAAATTTCATCTCAAAACCTGCAATAGCTGCATACCTATCCATAGGTATGGGCACCGAAACAAGGATATACACATTTTACCTAGGGGCTATATGGAGTTATATCAAAATCTGAAAACTTAAACTGATACCCTACACAACTGCCACCAAAATCTAACTTTCCTGGGTTCTTTATTCTGAACCAGGGCAATATTTCGCGATATTTGCATCCTCTTGACCGATATTAAGTCACCAGCTTCGCTTTTTAAACCTGGCATATTTTCCAAGTCTTTACGCCATAAAATAAACATTTGGTCACTTTAGGTTTTGGCCGATTTGAACCTTTGGAATATTGAACGACCATCATCTAAACAGTCGTTCTAAGTATTTGGTCAAATCCCCTTCATCGTGTAAAATATGTGATGTTGTGCTTATAATAATGACCTCTAGAGCGACTAGAAAATCTGACAAAAATAAAGTTTCCGGTTCATGGCACCCCCCTAAATATCATCTCAACATCACCGAAAATTATAGGCGTCGTCCTTGATCATAACCGGAACTTCATGCAAAATTTCTCTAGTAGGGGAATTAGTAATACTAAACAATATCACAACACATAGACACCAACCATAAAATTGGTACTAACTTAAAGGCCACTCCTTTTGGATATACTATCAGCTTCTCGGGTCTATGTCCTTCAGGAGTAAATATATATGTCATATAATAGAAATTTTGTAATTTTTCACACAAAAATTTGGGTCTATTTGACCCATATTCTTTTGCCAGATTCCCTTCCTCGTTTAAAATTTCGAGGTGTTCGGGTCATAATTGAGGCCTCTAGAGCAAGCAGAAAAACAGACAAAAATAAAGTTTTTGGTCATTTCATCCTCTAAATATTATCCTTTCATTACCAAAAACAATAGAGATCTTCTCTGGTCAGAGCCCATCGTACATGCAACATTTCGTGACGATTGGCCCACACAGAAGTCTGGATCCATTCAATCTGCTAGATATTGACCGACCTTCATCAAAACCGTAATTATTTGGCCATGTTCCCTTCCTGGTGTAAATTTGCAAAATTTCGCGACGATTGGTCTTTAACTGTGGCCTGTATCGTGTTTACACATTGTAAAAGATGGACGGACGAACACATCTGTCTAGAACACTGTTCACCAAACAGGCGCCCGTGGGCGCTTTGGGAGAGTACCAATACAATCACAGTTCTGTGTTCGAACTCAACATTATTCTCGACATCGAACATGTCGTATGCTTTGCAATGCTTTAACATAGACGATCTGTACCGAGAGAGGGAAAATTACTCTACCAACGGATCTATGCGTGTGTCCAACACAATCATAGCAGTTTGCATATGTATTTTGCTAAGTGTAGCTACAATATCTTAAAGGTGGGTCTAGGACCAATATTTTGCAGTGTAACAATATCATGGGGCTGCACAAAGTTTTAAAACCCTGACTATATTGTGTAGACAATTTAAAAACTGATTCAAATTATGAGTAATATGTTTTTAACAAATTAAGATCCAAACATTGAAATTATGGAGCCTTGACATTTCTGTAGAAAGAAACAACCTAGGTACCGATTTTAGGCACACATTTACACTCAAAGGTTTAAAATAGTTACTGGGACTTGCTGTAAACACCACTGGGTTTCAGCAATAACTTTAATATCTTAATTTTCCAATTTTTTTGGTATTCAGGAATTATTGCTATTGAATGATATATAGTATAATAATATATAATTCTATAGAGGTTACATTCTCTTTTGCATTTATTCAAACGACACCTAACCAAATGGAGTTGCAAACATAAAATAAAACATAACCTTAAAATACTCATATGCACATAAAATACATAATATATTCCCTCTAAATTCTGCACCATCAATTTTGAAATATTTATATATAATATAAAAAATAAATATAGTTAAATTTAAAAAATAAAATAACAGATTAAAATTAAATTGGAAAAACAAAATTTAGCTCAATTTTTGCAAATTTGAAA